CTCGATTTTTGAATTACTGGCATCTTAGTTTTCTATGCCAAAAATGTATGAAATTCCTCAAAATTTCTTAAGTTTTACAATACAAAGTTCACAAAATCCTTACTATTTAGTATCAACAAATTTCATTTTTGACGAGCTTTGATTTGGTATAAAATTCATTATATACACTTCCCTGAAATAATATTATTTTCTATGGGGCATCAGAGCGGTTGATCGCGCCTATATATATATATTGTCGAAGAAAGAAATCCAGAAAAAAGATCTATTAAGATATAAATAAAGTAGTGAAACTCTCTCTCTTGCTTATTGAAAATGTTATCATGAAACAAAACTAGAACCACTTCACCTATTGACGACTTATCACTGATATATGTTATGCTCACTTGTATGAGAGAAAATAACATATTAGATAGCAGACGGGTCAGAATCGATAAGAACAATACTAGTATCTAGTACTATATGCTATATAAAAACAAAAAAAGAACAAGTAATGATATCATCAACTAGTGATAGTTTAATATTCTATGGTTTCCAACACGAGTACATTAATATACTGCATAATACTCTCAGGAGATTACAATATTTCATGATTGTTTATCTCATAGAATTCAAGGAATCTCGCATTGCATTCTTAACAATTCAAGATGATTTTGATCTCGATAGATTTCTCTATTTTTTTAGCAAATAAATGAGACATATTGAGTATATTTCTTTAGAAAATATTCGACATAAAGATTTAAATAAATAAACATATACTTTTCTAGTGGAAAAACTAACTCTATGAATTACTATTTATTCAATTACAAAAACACATATTTTTATCATCAAACAATTTGTTTACTTAATTTTAGACTCGATAAGTGTATTTTGACAATGATTGTATAAGAAAATATTTCATAACTGTATGAAAAATTCAAATAAGTACTACTTTAAGATGAGTTATACAAATATGAAAATATCTTGTTTCAATGTCTTACATTTCAAAACAATGAAATTAAACTATTTTTAATAGTTTAGAATCGAAATATACTAAAATAAACTATGAAAAATGCATTAAAAATATGAATTGAATCAGTTTTTGTACTTATGTATTTCAATAAGATAAAAAAACATAAATTAAAAGATTTTCTGATAGTTCATTGTCTGTGTAGGATACGAGTTTTCTTGACATGTTTATGCCATTGATTTTTAAAATATTTGTTTTAATAATCTATTCAATTGATACAGATCATTAAATAAACATTCTTAAAACAAAAAAAAATGTGATGTCATACTTCGATTAATTATCACATAGAATCTATCATAAGATGAAAGAAAAAAAAAATATTAATCATTTTTCTTACCAGGATAATAAATATTGAAGGAGATAAATACTCGATTTTGAAGTTAATAATCTTGAAAAGTCTATCATAATTCATATGTTTTTCCTTGTATTTTTATATATTATTTGTGTAAGACATACTTGTCTGTTACAAACAGAAAAACAAAATAAGAAGAATTATCAGCAATCTGTCGTTGGTACATGTATATCTATAATACGATAAGTAACGTCTTTCACATTTAGTATTATCATCTTGTTGTAGTATGTATCTGATAAAAACACTAATGTATGTTATTCTTCTATATGGTAATAACGCTGAATCGACCTTGTTCAAAAAAAATTTTCGATTTTTTGTTAAAACTGTTGCTGGTATTTATCATTCAACTTGGCGTGAAAAAGCACTTGCAGCAGATCCAAATCTTAAGAATCGTTTTAAATTAACAAATGCAATTACATTTTATAATTCATCTGATTTTCTATATCCAATGATACTTAAAGTTGGTTCATGTCTTGTTCATCGAAATCTTAAAGTAGCTCGTGATCGTTATAATTCATCACTTATTTATGTTGATATATTAAATACGAAATATGATGAATTACCACCAGATTTAGCATATGATAATCGAGCAACAGCACGAATTGCTGGTAAATATATTTTACAAGGTGTTCGTCGAAAACGTTTATTTAATCAATATTATATTGAAGAAATATCAGAGATAATACATATCGAATGGATGAAACGTAATCGAAATCGTTCAAAAGAAGAATTAATGGTACCTTATGCAAATTTAACTAATACAGAAAAAAATAAAGATCGAAGAGCTGTATTAATTGCTGGTCATGTATTTAATGAATTTTATTTTTATTATAGATTTAATACAACTCCAGTTTATTTTATTGAACATATTATTTAATAGAATTTAACTTTTAGTTTTCTTTTTTTTTTTTTCTTAAGTTTATCTTATGTGTTTTTTTTTGCTGTAAAAAGTAATCCATAAATCTATTGTAGAATTTTTTTTTCAAATGAAAGTACAACAAAAAAATACAATACTCACTTGTCTTTCTACTATAAAGGTGTCAAACGAAAAAGAAAAGACGATAATAATAATAGATAGTGTCATTAAGTAGATTACAGAATTCAAATTCTTATCAACTATTACATATCTACTTTGACTAATAAATAAATGAATCTTTCCTTATGGATCTACGAATGATAGAAAAGATTTTTTTCTCAAACTTGAAAATATTATTATCAAGAATTTATAAAAGAAAATTTTAAAAAGATTGACTAGACACTCACATCTATTTATAGTGTAGTATACAAAAGTTTAGAGCATCTTTTACTTTATGATTTATTTTACTCAAAATGATTTGTTAAAGACCTCCAAATAGTAATTTGAATAGTCAATAAAGAGCTCTATCTAACATAACGGATGGGGAAAAAGTTTTATATTAATTTCCTTTTTCTTTCTGTATCCCATGAGAACATCCTAGACTATTCATTCTTTTTTCGTTAGCAAGAGCATTGTTAGTAGTACATATATATATATATATATATCGTCTCATTGGTCCTACATGTTTCTGATTGAAATGAAGAAGGAAGAACGAGAAGCACTATACTTACGTGTCGCAACTTTTTATAATAACACTACTGATGGTAATTTGAAAACTACATGGAATTTTTTTTTTTTAAAAAAAAGACTATTGTTATTCAACTGTATATCGAATCATTCAAAGATATTTACAATTTAAAATCACAAAAGATTTACCAAGATCTGATCGTCCACGAAAATTGAACGACAAAATAAATGAAATCTATAGCATTTACTTTGAATAATAATAGTGATATTAGTCATCGAATTTTATCAAGACATTATAATGTTGATCATAGAACAATTGGTAGAAATTTAAAATAACGAATAAATATTCGTTCAAGAAAACGAATTAAAGCATCGAAATATGTTAAAGATCAGGAGAAGCGTGCATAAAAACATTGTAAATTTTTATATCGTCATATTCCAAACAATTGTTTTATTGTTATGGATGATGAGAAACATTTTAGTGTAAGTGGTGTTGATATACCTGGAAACTCATTGTATTACATAAGTAATCCTTCTATTACACTAGCAAATATAAAGTACAAACAATATCGAAGACTTGAACCAAAAATTTTAGTATGGTTAGCAGTATCTGCTAAAGGGTGTTCAAAACCATATATATATATGTAAAAGAAACAATGCTATAACTAGCTATGTTTATTTGAAATAATGCATACAATGTCGATTAATTCCTTTTATCAAAATGAAACATTTAAAAACAAAATTTATATTCCGGCCTGATTTAGCGAAAGCTCATTATATACCACAAGTTTTGCATGCATTAGAGGAAAATTGTATACCTTTTGTACCAATGAGAAAAAATCCTCCCAATGTGCCTCAAGTACGACCAATTGAAGAACTTGAACAATGTTTCCTTGACAAGCAAAAGCAAAATTAATGCAAAATTTTTGCCCCGCTCTTTATTATATACTAAGATTTTCATCGATAGATTATGATGGCAAGGTTTCTAAAAAACTGAAAATCATATTTTTCAGGTCCTTGAAGACTTTGTGAAAATTATTTTTTGATAATGCCATCTTAAAGAACGTAAAATTCTGAACAAAACGAGGGATTGCTACGTTTTTTACGACCTTCTTTTGAAAAGTTACAGGTATCACAACAAAATAAAAAAGAATGCATTTTTCAGCCGGTTTTCAGCGATTTTTTGATAAAATTTACTTTTTTTCGTTTTTTGTGGTACCTGTAACTTCTCAAGAGAAGGTCGTAAAAAATGCAGCGACCTCTCATTTTGTTTAGAATTTTACACTCTTTTAGATGGTATTATCAAACAAGTAACGCTCGTCTGTGGACTAGCTCAGCTCTTTCTCGTAGAAATACTGTTTCTGAACTCGCTCCAAATTATTCACTTATCTATATTACTAATAGTAACTAGTTCCGGAATGAAATTCTTGTTTTTGAATTTCTTCTAGTGAAGTTTTTTCCTTAACTATGATGATATTAGTATGTTTTACTACTCTTTAGCATTGCTAGCTTATTAACACAAGCTCATCATAGATTCTCGTTTTTTTATTTGAAAACTCTTTGATCAAGTTTTCCAGAAAAGACACTAATAATAGTAGTACTTAGAAAAAAAAATCAAAATAGACTTCGGATTCAGATTCCTAACCCTCAATTTTCCCTTTTCGAGTGTTGTAAAAAATATTAATGATTAATAATTAAAACCGACCTTGGATTCGGATTGTCCACTCTCGATTACCTTTTGCCCATTTTTTTTGAAAAAAATTAATAATCAGTTAATTATTAATTAATTAAAACTAACCTCGGATTTAGATTCCTCACCCTCGATTACATTTTATCAAATTTTTTGAAAAAAATTAATAATTAATAATCAGTTAATTATTAATTAATCATTAATTAATTAAAATTGATCTCGGATTTAGATTCCTCATTCTCGATTACATTTTATCAAATTTTTTGAAAAAAGTTGATAATTAATAATTAGATAATAATTAATTAAAATTGACCTCAGATTCGGATTCTTCACCCCCAATTACCTTTGGTCAAGTTTTATGAAAAATAATCCCTTTTGTTTCCACAGTATATTTCAACCAATCAGTGAAGTGCTGACATACAAGCAAGCCAGCAAATAATTTCCACAAAGTCTTCAAGAAACTGAAAAATACAGTTTTCAGTTTTTTAGAAACCTTGCCGTCATAATCTATTCATGAAATCCTAGTATATAATATGTTAGATAGAGCTCTTTATTGGCTATTCAAATCACTATTTGGATGTCTTCAACAAATTATTTTGAGTAAAATAATTTATAAAACAAAAGATGCTTTAAATTTTTGATAACCACTATAAATAATATATCTCGGACAACAAAAATATCTAACCATCTCTCTATGATGATGCATATAATGATTAAAAAACATAGACGACGGTAAATATTATATAAATGAGGATTAGTTAGTTATTATAGATCGGTGATATTCTTGATTTTTATGAGAATCTATTATCGATTATAATTTAGAATAACGTATCTCAAAATAGAAGTTTGACGCACGTATATTCATTTTTTTTTGTACTTATTCTGTGATGATATCAATTCGATAAGAAAAAAAAGCATCGTATGACGTAGAAAGAAGTTCGAGTAATTTGAACCTTCTGTTTAACTGTTGGCATTTGTCAATCATTACTCATACTTGTGTACTAAAAAGTCAAGTAATAAGATCTTTTGTACACGAAACTGAATAAAAATCAAGCGCATTTGTTCGATTCATTTGTCTTTTTTTTCTCTTAGATTTGATTTCTTCTTCAATATTTTAAATGATACACTATAATATATGTCACATTTAGAAAATCATCAAGGTGAATAAATGTTGTTTGAAATGTGGACATCGTTCATAATTTATTGGATTCTCTTCACCTATTCTTATGCTAATAATAATTATAATAATTTTTATAAAGGGTAAATATAAATTCAATCGAAAAGAATGTTTGAATATTTTTAAAATAGGCATGAGTTAATACGTGTTTTACCAAAAACAAATGAACATCTTCAATTAATTCGTCATTTTGAAGATAATTATGAAGTAAGATTTCAATTTTATTAGTTTACGAAAAAAAGAAAAAAAACAAGTTTCTTCTAGGTCGATCGATGGTCTGAAATTCTACAGATCAATCGAGATATTAAAATGAGTTTACCACAGAATCAAGTATCAAAAATAAAACAATTATGTAAACAATATGGAATCGATGTTACTATTCTTAATAATAATTTAGACGAGTAAATTTTTATTGAATTGAAAATGTAAAATTTTTTTTTTATTTAATTTATTTAGATTAATCAAAAAATCCGATCATATTTCTAAACAATATAAAAAACGAATACAACGATCGATAAAAGATCGAATTCCACATCATCTTACTGATTATTTAACATATGAACAGGTGAAAATATTTCACAAAATAAATAAATCAATTTATCTTCTTTCGAATAGATTGTTCAATTTCTCAATAAACAACATAATAGATCTCCATCTTCAAAAAATTTTACTTCACTCTTTTCTATTGGTAATACCTATGAAAATCGATCAATTTGGACAATACGAGTATGATTATTTTAAAATTTAAAAATAAAATTCTATAATAATTTTTTTGATTAAGATTGGTAAACCATCTGCACGACGTAATATTCTAATGGATTGTGGAATTCATGCAAGAGAATTTATTTCACCTGCCACCTGCCTTTATATGATTGATAAAGTAGAGTATTCTTATAATCTCTAGATGAATGAGAAAAAGAAAAAAAAAAGATGATATTACTTTGTTTTAGTTGATTGATGAAGTTAATAATAGAAAAGTATCAATTTTATCAATATTTAATATATATATAATTCCATTACTTAATCCAGATGGTTATGAATATGCTCAAACAGAAGTAATTTTCATTGTTTGTTTATTTTAAAGAATTATTTTTTTTTTTGGTAATAAAATAGAGACGAATGTGGCGTAAAAATCGATCACCTAATAATAATAATAATAATTATTATTATTATAATACAAATTCAAATTGTATGGGAGTTGATCTTAATCGAAATTTTGGATATCATTGGATGGGTAAAAATTGACTTTTTTTTTTTGTTTTAATTTATTCTACCGTTTTTCTTTTCCCTCGTAGAAAATGGTGCATCAACAAATCCTTGTTCTGAAACATATGCAGGACCTAAACCAGATAGTGAATTAGAAACACAAAGTTTACAAAAATTTATTAAAAAATCATCTCAACATTGGGATGCTTATTTAACATTTCATTCATATGGACAATATTGGATTTATCCATGGGGATTTGCTTTATATATGCCTGATGATTATATTGAATTAGTATTTTCAAAAATTCTTTTTTTTTTATTTTTTATTAAAAAAGAAAGTAAATATTTATAATTTTATAGAAAAATAAAGCACAAATTGGCTCCGAAGCATTAAAACGTGTCAATGGTACTTTATACAAAATTGGATCAGCAGCTAATTTACTTTGTATATTTATTTATTTCGAATTTTTTTTTTATTGTTGTTGTTATATTCTTTGGATTTAGATGAATCTGCAGGAGGTAGTGATGATTGGGCTAAAGGGGTTGGGAAAATAAAATATGTTTATACTGTTGAATTACGTCCTTCAGATGACATGAATGATGCGCATGCACATTTTGCTTTTATGCTTCCATCAACATTTATTGAACCAGTTGGACAAGAAACATATGTTGGTGTTAAAGAATTTCTTCGATCACTTATAACATCTCGACGACAAATATCTTTATCACAAAAAAAGCCATGAAAGTTAAAAATTTCTTCGTGTTTTGTTTTTTTTTTTACTAGTAGTATATTTATATCTTATCTTTTCTTGTTTAAACACTCTCAAATTTCTTTCTTTTTTTTTTTTTTGTTGTTGTTGTAAACATGTTAAATGATAGTCATAGACGATTCACTTACATATGTTAATGTTGATAGAACAGTTAATATCATGGAAATAAATAATAATAATAAATTAGAAAGTTCTTCATATCAACAACGAATATTAATTACTGGTATTTCAGGTTTAATTAGAAATATTTTATTTAATTATTTAATAAAAAAATATTCAACAAAATATGAAATCTTTGGACTTGATCAACATTTGAATATGTCAATAGATAAATTCTTTCAATGTGATGTAACTGATAGAATAAAATTACATAAAATTATTGAAGAACAAAAAATTAACATAATTATTCATTTAGCAGCTCAACTTGAAAACTATCCTGATATTGAAATGATATCACATGTTAATATTGATGGAACAAAAAATATTTTTGAAGCTCGTTTGTTATTATTATTATTATTATTTCTTTTTCTATTTTGTTTATTTAAAATAATTATTTTTTTGTTTTTCAGCGGGTGTTCGCCGTATAATATATGCAAGTACAATAAGGACAGTTTTTGGTTATCTTAATTATGAACCATATCTTTCAATTCGTAAAGAAACTTTTGATGATATAACAATGTTAAAAAATCTTCAAAAATTAACTATATCAAATAATCCACCTTTACCTGATACTCAAACATCTGGTCATGAAGTATATTCTCAAAGTAAAATTATTGGTGAACAAATGGCTATTGATATTGTTAAAAATAATTAGTTCAAAATCTATTATTTGTGTTCGTTTTGGATGGGTCAATATAGATAATCAACCAGGAAATACATGGTCTCGAACTGTATGGTTAAGTCATCGAGATCTATGTTTATTTATTGATAAAGTATTACAAGCTCCTGATAATATTAGTGGTATATACTTTCTTACATCGAATAATCATCGTCGTTGGGTTGATTTAGATGATGCTAAAAGAGATTTTGATTTTGTACCACAAGATGGAGCTGAAAAATTATAATAATATTATTTTGAATTTGAATATCAAAAATCTAATTTAATAAAATTTTCAACAAATTACAAATATATGTCATATAAAATGAATCACTTTATTATTTGTATAATAGAATAATAAGATGTGACATTCTATTATAGATTAATAGATCTTTAATATGACAGTAGACGAAAAAAAAAAAAAAACATTTTTCTTTCTCTATGCTCAATTCTTTTAAATTGTACAAATTACTCAAAAAAAGTAACAAATGAGAAGTCATTTGATGATTACATTCAAGAAGAATCAACATCTATACAATGAAATAGAAGCCAAACAAGTTATTAGTTTCACTCCATCCTAACTAAAGTATATTAATGTAAAAAAGTAGCTAGATTCCAATTGTATTCAACTTGACAAATAAGAATTCTATAATAAAAAAAAAGGTGTGTATGTAATTGTTACCAAACTTGACTCTCAAAAATACTTTCTTTTAGAAAAGATTAACATGTGTCATAATTTATTTCCGTCTTTGTTATATATTTAATTAACATTATAATTACTTCGTGTGAAAGTAGAAACAAATAGAAACTAGTCCTTGTATTAAAAATTATAAGATTTTTACAACTATTTATATCTAAAGATAAGAATGTAGAATTGATGTTCTAAACCATGAATCTATTAAATGAGTAACACCATGCAAATGAAATGTTATACTATAAAACCTCAATGTCAAAGTATTATAGTTACAAATTAAAACTGATACTCTTATGTAGGTCTTTATAGTATGTTAACACTTTTAATATTAAGAAATTAATGAATAGGTCATTCTCTATGAATACCCTAATATTTTGCTTACTGTTCATTTTGTTTAAAATATAAATAGAATAGCAAAAAAAAAAAAGTCATAGATCTATATATTCAATATCGTTGATCAGTTGTTGTGATTCTTTTTCTATAAAATCTTTGAAAGAGGTTTCTCTACTGATGTATAAAATAATAATAACGATACACCTATCATTTATTTTGATAGAGTATACGATTTGATAAAATAATTCTGTTACGAAATCATATATGAATCCATTCAATATTTAGTAATCTTCATAGTATGTTTTTGTTATCAAAAAAAACATAGAAAAAGAAGGTGGAGTAGAAGAATCATTCAACTGAATAAATCATCATCGTTTTTCTTTCTCTTCGTCATCGGTAGTTATTATTATTATTCTCTTCGATGTGTTCATAGTATTCGGTACCATAACATTGATTTATATAAAGAATGAAACCATCCGATCTCGACCCGACCAAACAAACATTGCGTAGATTGAATGACGTAAGTAACGAAAAAAAAAAAAAAAAAAAAAAAAAGAGTACAAATATATACATAAAAAGCAAAAGCACTTTCGTTCTTGTCCAATACGTGCCATCAACAACAAATGATGATTATCATCATTTGTACCTCTTGTACATCAATACACAGGAAGGAAAAACGTAAAATGAACATACATTTCTTTCTTCTCTTTTTACAATTCATGACGACGCCCATCGTCCACTGCACGTCTTCATTTATGTGCCTCAAGCGGATGAGATGAAATGAACGTGTATATGCAAGAGAGAAGAGAGAGTGCAATTATCACACACACAAACCTCCGTCGTCGGTCTGTCTTAGTAGACGTGTAGGCTAGAGCTCAAGTAAAGGAAAAAAGGAAAGACTTTTTTCTCTCTCTCTCTCTCTCTCGTGTCTCTCTCTCTTTCTTAGTGTTTCTCTTCTCGTCTCACATTCATTCAGTCATCAGTCATGCCGTCGTGGTGCATATGTTCCTCACTATTTCAATCTCTTCTGATTATTTTAATCATTTACTTTGAAAAAACTTTATCAGCAAATGATTATCAACATCAAATATTGAAAGCTGATGTTGGCCAAGATGTAACTATGTCATGTATATTCGATGAAGACAAAATTGAACAGGTTAGCAAAAAAAAATAATAATCGAGCCGAAGAATTTTTATTTATTTATTTTTTATATGTATATAAAAAAAACAACACCAAAAGCTCATAGATGCAGAAAAACATTCGTTAATAGGATCGATTATTTTCTGTATAAAATAAATTCATGACAGTTGTTCTATATATATATATATATATCTATTCATCATATGGCAAACAAAATATAAACTATACGTGTAACGGATCATTGTTTATTCTTTAGGCTGAACATTAGACGAGCGTGTCTATATCGATTTTCGATTATCCAGCTGGACACAAGAAGATTCTCTTCATTGATCAATAGTTTATATATATATATCTTTTTTTTTTTGTTCGATAGTTATTTTAATGAAAACTTGTATATATTTAATGATATTGATACATATAAGAATTCATATATTTTCTTTTTAATCAACTATAGTCTTTATGTATATTGATGAGTAAATTTGGCGTAACATGCATCAGCTTGTTTAACAGATTGATTTATCTGATACGGTCAGTATGAATGAAAATAAACTTTTATCATATGTCGCCTTCCTGTGAGATTCAGTATTTGAAGAGCTCTTCATCAACTTCGAATCAGTCTTTAGATTCTTCTTTTTTTTTTTTTTCTTCTTCATCTTCGATCAATATTATTGTTACTTTCAAGGACATAGATATACTTAACATACGTTAAGCATATTGACCGTACGGAAGCTCTTATTTAACTTTCTTTTTGATTTACGGAAAACAAAAAAAAAACAAGAAAAAACGATAACAAATTAATCATGAGATATTTTAACATATGTTTATTGATTAATTAAAAACTATCTAATAATGACATTTTTTTTTTTTTTGTCATAGAAAAGCAAAAATGTTTCTAAAAGATTAAATGTTCAATTATAATAAGTTCTAGATAAAATATTTCTAATTTCTTTTGTCTTTTTAGAAACAAAAAAAAACCCTAAATGTTAAGATAAAATGATTAATATTTAATTTTAGGTGTCCTTCATGCGTCAGATGACAGGTGACATATTGTCACTTGGTTCAGAATTATTTGTTCATGAATTTTCATCAAATCAACATATTAAATTAATTCAATTTTCAACCAATCGTTTAGATTTAAAATTAATATCAGTTAATCAAAATGATTCAGGCATATATACTTGTATGTTAAATGATGAAAAATTAACATCATTTTTATTAGAAATATTTGGTAAGAATCTATCATTCATATATCTTATTAAATACTAATAGAATATGAAACAAATTGCTTTTTATCTTCTTAAGTATGTTCTTCAAGAATAAAAAGAAAATGAATTATTTCCTTAGTGATGTAATAACAAAAAAAAAAAAACGAGAAATTTGACAAATAATGGTTTAAGTTCAGTTATTATCTTTACTATTCATCGAATCATTAAAAAAAATTAACATGTCATCATTTAAGAACTATAAATGGGAAAGTTATTATTCTATCTTGAACGGAAAAGAAAATTTTTTTTTTTTTTTTGGTTATAAGATGATTGCATATTGTATGTATGTATAATCTCATTGTGCTAATTGCAGGAGGTTCTTTCTCGTTTGTAATCTTGACAGGCATCTCGATAAATTAGCGTTAATGACGCGTCCGTATGGTGATCGATACGGAGAAGAAGAGAGATAAAAAGAATACAGCTCATGTCTTGACCTTTTAGACACACACACACACACATGAAATATATAACTTACGTTGATGATGTGTTAATCATTTTTGTCTGCATCAATATATGTTCAACAGGAAAAAACAAACTAGATTATATTACTCAAATATACATTTAAATAAGATAACCATATATATATATATATCTTCAGGCTTTGGTTTTTTATTTATATGTGTTAAGTTTATTGTTTTATATTGAATGAAAAAAAACATTTCGATTTATATATCTAATTGTGACTATTTAGATGTGTGACTATTAATTCATATGATTTGCTTGTTTCTTTTTTTTGTTTTTTAATAGTCCCACCGCGATTTATTTCATATTTTCCAATTGAAGGAAGTGTTTCATATTCGGAAGGTTCATCAATGAATTTATCTTGTCGTGCTTTTGCTGTTCCATCAGCAAATATAACTTGGATTTATCGTGATAAAAATAAACAATCAAAAAGTAATTATTCAATTTAATTTGACAAAAAAAAAAAGAAAGTTTTTCTTTTTTTTTAAGCAATTCATTATGGAGAAGATGTTTATATATCATCACTTCAATCATCAGATAGTGGTTCATATGAATGTATTGCTTCAAATAATTTTCATGCATCGATTAGTCGTTCATTTTATGTTACTATTCAATGTAAGATTTTTTTTTTGGTTTGCATGAGAAATTTGTAAGTAGAAGTAACTCAATCGATTGTGAAAGTATTTCCGTCCATTGTGGGTCACACTACTCAATTAGACTGTCTTTCCGATGGGATAACATTCAATTATGATAATCTCTTAGTTCTTTTTTTTTTTCTCTTTCCTTTTATATTACATAACTTTTAATAAAAAAGAAAAACTTCATTGATAATTAATTATTTGTATGATATGTTATAATAGATTCTCCTCGTGTAATGATATTAAATGATAAAATGACAAGTGATATTCATGACACAGTCATAGTAAAATGTCATGTATGTTCAATCCCAGAAGTGATTCAGATAAATTGGTTAAGACATGATCAAATGATAATGGATGTTAATATTCTTATTAAAACACAAACAATTGATCATTATCAATGTTTAGAATCTACTATGGAAATTGTTGTATGTTGAAATGAAACTTTTTTTGTTTTTTTTGTTTGAAGTTTTATTTTATTTTTTTTGTTTTAAAAAATAGGATATAAATGAATATCAATTCGGACAATATGAATGTCGAGCAGAAAATAATCTAGGACAAAATTTTGCTTATATTGATATTCAACAAAGTAATAAAATAGAAAAAAAAAACAATTATTTTATTTTATTTTTTTATTGTTAAAAGTTTCAAGAAATATAAAAATAAAACAACAAGAATTTCATTCAAATGAAATTAATCGAAATGGACGTACAGCTTTATTAATTGATAATCAAGATAAAAATTTCACAATAACATCAACAAGTAAGTTTTTTTTATTTATTATTTTATTAATATTTATTATTAAATAAATAATTAGAAACTCCAAAATGGTTATCGAATTGTTCATCTGTATATGTATTATCTTCGTTTTATTATTATTCATTAAGTTTATTAATATGTTGGATTCGACCAGTATGAAAACAAAATATGTGTATATATATATATATATAGAAATATTGTCTTTTTAAATCTAATCAGTGTCATTAATTAAATCCGGTGAATTAGCAAAATAAGAGAAAGATTTTGAACATAAACTTTTTTTTTTCTAAGTGATGATTGACAAATTTTTTTTTTTTTTTGTTGTTATTAAAGAAATAAAATAAAAAATGACACATCAAATTTAATAAAAAAAAAAAAAAAAAAAACGATTCTCTATTACAAATAAAAAAAAAAGAAAAATTCTGGTTTAAATCACCGGTTTGTCGAGTTTTTTTTTTTTTTCATTGAGATAATATATTGCTCATTGTAAATAAACAAAATTTATTATGAGAAGAATGAATATTAAAAAAAAATGATTTATTAATTGAAATAAATATTTAGATGAATCTATTTTTAAATTAAATAAATTATTTTTAGAAACTAATTAAGAAATAAATATTTACTTGATATTTTATTGGTATTATTAAGAACAATTAAAAGAGCAATATTTTCATTTTGTGATTTTGTTTGTAGAACTAAGAATAAAATTAAAATAAGAATCTTTTTTTTATTTCTTTTAGAATAAAAATATTATCTTACTATATTTTGGATTAAAATCAATGTGATCAGAATGATGACCAAGAATATTTTCAGCTCGACATTCATATCGACCATATTTTTCATCTGATGAATCCTTTATAAACATTTAAGCAAGATTTCTTTTATATAAAAAATTTTTTTGTTTTTTGATCAACTTACATGAATAGTTAATATTGTAATGAGACATTCTTCAGTTTCGATAGATGGAAAATCTGTTTTAATAATAAAAGAATGTTCATTTGAAATATTTATACCATTTTTAATCCATTTAATATGAGGTAAAGGTACTGAACATATTTGACAATTTAATTCAATAGGTTTTATATTAAAATCAATGAATTTGTTGATAATAACACGTGGTGGATCTGAAATAAAGAAACAAAAAAAAAAAACTTCATTAATATAAATAATATTATGTAATAATATATTCATTTCTATTGTTATGTGTGTTAACATCATATTTGATAGGATTATTTTGATAAAAGACGTGTTAATATAAAAAAAGAAAAAGCTTTTTTTTTCTTTCAAAAAAAAAAAAAAAACATAAAACTTAATTTAGATATTGATGAAATGAAAGGTAGATTATTCAATGGGATATTATTATGAAATTTAAGACAGAAAATGGATTAGACAACTTACATTGTATAGTGACATAGAATGAACGACTAATTTTTTCATGATATCCATTTGAAGCAATACATTCATATGAACCACTATCTGTTGATTCAAGTAATGAGATATAAATATCTTCTCCATAATGAATTGCTGAAGAACAAAAAAAATTTTCTTTTTTTTTTTTTTTTAATAATTTAATTACTTTTTGATTGTTTATTTTTATTTCGATAAATCCAAGTTATATTTGTTGATGGGTAAGCATAAGCATGACAAGATAAATTCATTGATGAACCTTCTGGATATAAAACACTTGCTCCCAATGGAGAAAATGAAATAAATCGAGGTGGAACTAAATTAATTTATTATATCAGATTTAATTCACAATAGAAAAATTCTTCGTGAGATGTTTCTTTTTTTTTTGTTGCTCTCTTTCATTTATTTCAAAGTAAAATAATATAAAAATTTAAGTAGATTAATTCTTAAATTTGTGTATAGAAGATGACAGGAGACAAAAAAGGATCCTATTATTTGACTCATTTTTTTCCTGTATTAATCTGATAAAATTCATTACGACATTTGATGCTTATTCTTCTTACTTGTTAACAACTATTCTTATCATGTCGGAGATATATATCAATTATTTGACAAATCCTTTTTCTTTATTTCTATTGATCTACTCTATTTTATTATAACAAATGTCAAGGTTAAACATAAAAAAGACAAGATTGATAAACAATATATATGATGTATTAATTATTAATAACTATTGAAAAAAAAAAAAGAATAATATATGAAATAATCAATCGAACTATTGTTATTCTTAACTAGAAATAAAAGTAATTGGTTATGAAAGATAAACATGAAACAAAAAAAAAAAGAAAAAAGAAAAAAGAAAATAACCTGATGAATACTGGATCAGATTAACACATATGTTCTATCATTTCTTCTGCTTGATCAACCAAAAATAACGATAAAAAAAAAATCGTTTTCCTCTGCTTGTGACGTACTCAATTATTTATTTCTTATTTTGATATATTCATAGAAAATGATATGCTAACTGTAGTTACATAAGATTTCTTATCCTCCTTTTTCAAGGGTACATACTTGACAGAGACAAGAGCACAATTTTTCTCATTTTCTTTTTTTCGTTAAGCTAGTTCGATCAATGATGGACAGTTTGGTTAATCTATTTTGAAGATACTTACCAAATATTTCGAGTAAATATGATGATAATTTCTCATCATTATACATACATGTATAAAGACCTGAATCATTTTGATTAACAGAAAGAATTCTAAAATCTAAACGATTTGATGAAAATCGATTTAATTTCATATGATTATTAGTTAATGATTTATCAATAAATAATTCTGAACCAAGTGATAATAAATCTCCAGTTGTTTGATGCATAAATGAAACCTAAAATAATGAAACAGAGACAGAGAAAGAGAGAGAGAGGGGGGAAAAAAACATTTTTTTTGTTTCTTTCAAATGAATTAGTTTTTGATTGTTTAGATACATTTAGCTTGTTATGAGTGAAGAGGAAAAGTGATTCTAGAATGTATTGAACCGGAGGATAGAAAGTAACCATTTATTTTCTAAGTGGTCACTCGCCTCATCATCAGTGAACATATGTTGAACGTACTCTTTCATATTCTATTGTTCTTCTAAGGGCATCATCCCATAAAATAGTTGTCGAGTGTCCTTCAAATAACAATAATATTGATTTGGTTCTGCTTATTTAAGAAAATAATAATTTTTATGTTCATTCTAAATAACCTTTTCATGTTAAAATTATATATATCGAAATTCAAATCAATTTATATTATGATTATTGGTTGACTATGCTCTACTGAGCATAACAAGTAGATTTTTATTCGTTAGTGTCTTTTTTCAAAAAAAAAGAAAAAGAAAAACTTACTTGTTCTAATTGTGATTCATTTTCAAAAAAACATGAAAATGTAACATCTTGACCAATATTTTTTCTTAAAATTTGATCCGATGATAATAAATGACAAAGTGATAAAAACAATATCAATATGATAATCATGATTATTATTTAGTCTATAGGAAAATGATCAACTGACACTCACACAAAGAGAAAAAAGGAACGATAACTAATTGTTGCTTGCTCTCTTTCTTTTACTTCTGTTGAACAGATGAAGAAGGAGAAGATTTTTTTTTTCTTCTTTTTTCCTCTTCTCTCTCTCTCTCTTTCTTGCCTTTTTGCCTTGTTGAATGATGATTAGAATTCTAGTTATGATATTGATCCACTTGTACTATATTCGAAGGACAATTATCTTTAAATAAACAAAACAAAAAGTAACTTTGATTCATTTTGTTGACATGAACGTGATTTTTATTCAATAAGTTTTTGCCGACAAACGAATAGACTAACTAGATCATTGATAATTATTAATGGTGACGCATGTCAAGACACAAAACTCATTCTACCTTTGATTGCATCACTAAACAAAAATTTTGACGCCGAATTAAACTTTCCGATTCAATGTTTAATAATAAATAAAACGACCAATTGACTTTCAAGGTAATTTGAAATGAGAAGGAACAACAAAAAAAAAGAAAAAAAAAGAATTGTTCAATTAAGTCCGATAAAGTCATTGCTTTTAAATAATATTAAAACTTTATCTCGGAATTCATACTATCAATTATATTCATCCGTTTGACAAAAAAAAAAAAAAAAAAAAAAAAAAAACCAAAACTTTGACTTATAAATAACATAAAGAATTTTCTTTTAAAAATCTATTCAACAAATAAAAAAAATCATATCGCTCAAGGCAAAATAATCTGAGAAATAAACACTACGGATATTAACATTTCAACATAAAAAAATTTTATTATTATGATTGTTCTTTTATGTAGGATAAGATGCAAGTCGATTATATGTCTCCAAGAAAATGTGTTAATTTTCTTCTCTATAGAACAACTAAACAAAGAGAATTCTATATAATAATAAAAAAAAAGCAGATGATTAATAATAATATTTCACAAATTATATTATCAATTATATATATAACATTTTCTTCCAATCAGACTGATTTATATAGAATTCGTTTTTTTTTTTACAATGGCACACATTTTACGTAGTTGACGTTTACAATAGAATCTATTTTTCTATTA